TCTCTCTCTCTCTCTCTCTCTCTCTCTCTCTCTCTCTCTCTCTCTGTGTGTGTTTGTGTGTGTGTGGCTTTGTTGATATTAATTGTCTTAGTTTAATTAAATAAAATAATTAAAAATATATGGTTAGATTTAAGATTTATTAATACCTTGATATTTCTTTATGGTTAATAGAAATGTGAAAATTAGCAAAGGAAATTAATGAAATGAATAGCAAGGTCATTGCATAATTGAGACTGCTTGGTTTGTTTGTGTTTACATGCATTGAGGTAGAGAGAATCCAAAACTTGTTGGTCATAAACCTGTTGAGTGAAAAATCATAAAATTAAGATGAACAATCACATTTTTTTTTCAAAAATAATAATATAAATAGTTATTTTGAAATATACAATTACCCATATTCTATGTATATATTCTTACTCAAAAATTGCATTTTGCCATGTGTATTATGAGTTTCATGATGTGATCTCCCAAAACATTGGCTGCTGAATAAGATCTATTTCATTAAACCTTCAAATCAAACAAAAATAAATTTATAAAATAATTACTATTCATTTTATTTAATTTTTTTCATGTACAATTCTACTAATACAACTAGAAAATGAAAAGCAATCACTATTATTTTTTTTCCAACAAAAAAAAATTATTCATTCACTCATGTAATTTTAACTATTTCTATTTATCACGTAATATTTTATTATATTTATATCAGATCAACTCTAATCATTACATGTTTATCGTCGTAATATTATCTCGTTTCTTTTTTTCAAAACACAACTTTTTATTTTTTCCCATTTTTCTCTTTCCAGTTTTCAACTACAACCCTCGATTTCACGACGTGTTGCGAGTTAGTCACGCCGAGTACCAATCATGCAACTCATCTTCGCCAATGTCGACTCACACGACCGGAAATGACTCGATCATGATCGACACTCACGGCCACCATTTCTTCATATGTGGCATGCCCACACACTGCCAGGCTGGACAAAAGGTCGACATCAATGTTCCCCGAACGCCCGCCCAGTCAGCAAGCTCATCACTTCCTCCAGTTGTTAACTCTCCAGTTCCTATAGATACAGTGCAGGCTCCATCTCCTAGTGCTGCAGCTGCTACTCCCATAATAATGCAGGCTTTTGCTATTAATTTTGTGGGTTTTGGGGTTTTATTTTTCGGTTTGGCTTAATTTTAGGGGGAAATATTGATATAAAACTTGTCTTGGTCTATTTATAAGTTTCATCATGACATGATTTTTGTTGAGTTTAAAAACACTATTGGTCAAAATAAATCTGTGATTTTGTTGTTTATGTTGCAAACTGCGTTTAATATACCAGCACGCTAATTGCTTATTTTGTTATTTATATTGCAAACTGTGTTTAATATACCGTACATACCGACCAGCAAAATACCGGATAGCACTCAATTGTCCGGTATAATTACTCACAAAATACAAGATTTACTGTAATATCAATTTTTACCAAATCATACCATAAATAATGAAATTGCCGGTCCTAAACACCAATAAACAAATAAAATAATTAAAAAAATGTAAATTGGTAGTTAAGATGTCTCATTTGTATTTCTATTGAGAAGTTCACGTTTAATAAATATATTCATTTAATTTTTCATATTTTATTTTTTATTTTTATTTGGTACTATATATTATTACTAGTTTTTGTCCCGTGCATTTGCACGAAAAATTATATGATACATGAAAAATAATAAAAATTATAAACAATAGTAAAAATCATAACAAATTCATTGAAAAAAATTAAGAAAAAAAATATAAATATTCTTAAACATTTCTTTATAAAACAACGTCGTGGTTTTTCTATCATCAAAATCTCCCTCAGTTCAAATCAAAATCTTCAAATCCCACTGACTCGTAACTCTAAAAAGCGCCACGTATAATTGCTCATGACTAAATGCAGAGCTCTTCAGTAGTAAGCCGACGTGCGACAGAGACTGTCTTCGACTCTTATGGATCATGTCATAACATAGGAAACACTTCTTTATATTGTTTGTCATTGACTCTTATTGATTGATAGAGATTGTCCTTGCTTCTTAATAAAAAAAATACCATCTAAATATAAATGAGTAAATATAATATTAATTTTTAATATAAACAAAAAATTTAAAGTAATTGATAATGAGTATAGAATTACCCTTGCGGATTCAAGTTATTTCATCGATGTTCTTTTTATATATCTAAGATTTAATTTTTTTTCTGATTTATATGAATATAAGCACATTTGACTAATTTTTATAAAATTTATTGAAAAAAGTTACTATTTTTTTGAAAAACTGATAAGATATTAAGATAATACTGTACTTAACATAAATGTGAGATTAATTAAAATAAATCTTTTTAATTTAGTCATTAACTAAATAAATTTAACTATAAAAAACCTTCTTAAATGTGAGATTAATGAGTAATTAATTAAAAAAAATGTAACTCCTTTTGGAGGAAAAGTGAAAATATTTTTATTAAATGTTTTATTAAATGAGATTAGCTAGCAATTATATATATATAGATGTATATCTATATATTGCCTAAGCCATGGTATGCGATACTAATGGACTGGATTAGATACAGTATTTAAAACATTCACTGCAATTGTACAACAACTGACACCATCAACGCATTTGTGGCATCACTAGAAGCTGATGATATAAGACCAGCTATTTTTTATATTAGTTACTAAAAAATATGTGAAACACATATTATTGTTAGAGTATATCAATTCGTCATACTTTTTTGTTTCTTAACAAAAACATGCAGTATTACTATGAAAAGAGTGATATCCCCTTGGTACATTACCTTTTCCATTACTTGTAGTTTCCCTTGGCTGAAAT